CTTTGTCTGAGAGGTCGGTGGCATTATTGCTGAGTCATGCTAGCATCTGCATCTTTTAAGATCTTTCCAGGATACAAGAGGACATGGGTAAATTGTCCATAAATAAAAAGGCTAAAAAAAAAAAACTGTTAGGAATAGCTTGGCTTTTGAAGAGAAAATATGACTTACAGCTACTGGTGACCTGAACTAAACTGGAATGCATATTTAGGGATACATTTGTGCAATGTGGCGTACTGTTATAATTTGTTCAACCCAAAGTGTCTACTCGTCAGTATACTCTTAAGACCTGGAAACCTAGGGCTTTCTCAATGGGAAGCAACTGAACATTTCTCTGTGTTTCAGATGGACTGTTCTGTTTCCCTTGCAAATCATATTTTGTAAGTAAAGGAAATTTATCTTCAGGGAGTGAGATTCAGGTGAGTGTTCTGGAAGTCTGTTTTTGCTCAATCAGCAAAATAGCTAGCAAAAATACTAGGAAGAGCCCTAACAGGTGGGTAAAGAAGTGAGGGAAGTCAAGCAGGGAGTCTCATTGTTCCAGTCACAAGGTGTGCATTTCACTAAAATATTCCATATCAAAAAATGCTGATATTATAATCCTATTGAAATTATGAAATGCTGAAATTATGATAGTAACAGGTATGAATATTCTAGAAGTATGTATTACCAATACCTGAAATTGTTACAGGAAAGTATTTTCCAGGGGAAGCATTGTTCACTAGCAATCCTATTTAGCCCCACATAATTACTGACTCTTGAACAAAACAGATTTGTGAAGTGTAGCTCTTCACAACATGTTGAGTTGTGTCCAAGTAGCTACCATTTCTTTTTTTGTTATAGTTCCTACAAATTTGCCCAGGACAGATTAGATTTACTGGTTTATAGTTCCCTGGATCCACTTTGGAGGTATGTTTGAAAATTGGCATCACCTTCCATTCTTTGAGTACAAAGTGTGTTGTAAATGACAAATTACATACCACATATTAGTGTGTCCTTTAAGAGCACATAACTTGGCATATACCTCGGCAGTTTGTTACTGTTCATTTTATAGATTTGTTCTAAGACCTTTTGTACTGACATTTCACTTTATGGAAGATCCTCCATTTCATTGCCTCTAAAGATATGTTCGGGTATAAGATACTTTATAAGCTCCATCATGATGATCAAAGATCTGAAGAGTTTGTTTAGCTTTCTTACTACAGCCTTTTCTTCCTTTGTCACATACTGACTGCATATTGGCCTTACAGATTTTTTGGCAGGACAACTTGCTTTTAATGTGTATGAAAGAGGATTTTTATTCATAGGCTGTCTGTCTTCAGTAAAATTTTTCTCGAGTTTATCGAGGACCCTCTGGATGGCAGCACAGCTCTCTGGTGTATCTGCCACTCCTCCCAGTTGTGCAACATTTGCAAACTTGCTGCAGGTGCACTCTGTCCAGGGCATTGATGAATAAGCTGATCAATACTGGATCCGGTATTGACCGCTGGGCTGCGGGGGGCACTGCTAGCTACAGGCCTCCAAATAGATTTTATGCCACAGCGCACAACCCTCTAAGCTCTGTCCTTCAGCCAGGTTGCCATCCACCTCACTGTCCACTCATCTAGCCTGCAGTTTCTGGGCTTGCCCGTGAGGTTATCGTGGGAGACAGTGTCAAAAGCCTTACTGCAGCCAAGGGAGACAACATCCACTGCTCAGTATGCTCATACTGTGAAGGCCACAGGGGTTAGAACTGCAGGTTTCATCTCTGAGTTGTCTCCCTTTGGGACCTGGAACAAGATATTGATGATACCTCTTGTTTGCATGAGATTGGTATTATTAGATACTTTAATTTGAGACAAATAATATGGTAATGTAATGACAGAATGAAATGCTTGCGGCTAACAAAGAAGCACAAAACTATGTATATATTGTAAAACCAAGCAGAAGTCAGGTATGCTCTTTCATTTAAGTCTTTCCTTAGCCTAAGCAGGTAAGATTTCAAATGTAAGGTTTTTTTTACATTTGTACTAATTACTTTTGTGCAATTTTTAAGTCAGCAAGATATGTTGTTTCTTAGTGATGGAACTCCTTCTCAGCAATGACAAATGAGTACACTGCTGACATTGCTGGATGGAATTCAGCATATAAAAGGGCACAGCCTCATATTAATCCCCTCCCCAGCAGCCCCATCCCAGATGCAGCTTTCCATTCCCGGAGTGTTTATCACCTTCAGGATGTGATTTCCTCACAGTCAGCTCCGCATCATCTTTATTAATTATTTGCAGACCTCCTGAGTTTTGTGCCCTAGTTTTGTTGATCCCCGTGTAATCTTCCCTGTAATTAGCCCGTGTGTCTGCGCACTGCAGTGACGCAGCTCCACCGTTGCTCCATGAGTGGGCAGGCTGGAGCGGGGCGTGCACAGACCCACGCGGTGTCTGCGAGCCCATGCGGCCGTGGCAGGGAAGAGGTCATATATTGCCATCCGCAGGATGGATTTACAGCCCCTCTTAGCCATGTTTATTTTATGCATCAGTACGTGCACTGAGAGATCTGGCGGACTGTGGCGGCCTCACTGTGTGTTATGCATTTCCCCCAAGAGTGCTCTGTTTAAACTTGCTCTTGCAGCCGGCCGGACAGCGTGACCCGTGCCAGGGAAACAGCACAAGTCGCCTTCATGGAGTCGCCTGGTGCAGGCCCCGCGGCAGAGCGCCTCCCCGCGTCCTCCCCCGGCGGCTCCGTGCCGGAGGCGCCTGCAGAAGGGCAGCCCTGGAGCAGAGG